TTTACCTGCTGCGTCCACAGGTTCGGCCGATCGCAGCTCCCACTGGCCGCGTTCGCCGTCCCAGGCCAATGGGGGCTGCTGGAAGCAGTGCGGGCTGAGGGATGTGCTGGCCGCCCTTCCCGCAGCCCCCATTGGCCTGGACCGGTGAACCGTGGCCAGTGGGAGCTGTGATTGGCCGAACCTGCGGACGCGGTACGTAAACAAACCGGCCCGGACCGCCAGGGGCTTTCCCTGAACAAGCGGCGGCCCGACTTTGAGAAGCACTGTTCTACATAACAGCTGAGTTCAGTGATTTTTCTTTATTTAGGTGATGAGGCATCCAGATCACGTGTCATCCTCAGTGTACCTGTGGGCCCATCATGAGAAGCTCGTTGTCATTGACCAGTCTGTAGCATTCGTTGGTGGCATTGACTTGGCCTACGGGAGGTGGGATGATGATGAACACAGGCTGACCGATGTTGGCAGTGTGAAACGAATTCCAGGAACAAAGTCTACATCTACAGTGAATCTCACAGTAAGAGTGAATTCTGTACATGTGGCTGTTAACATTTAATACCATGTACACTAGGCAATAGTCATGCAAAATGGAAGTAAGCAAGACTTTCTGCATTTTTAGGGCATGAGTCTGTAGCCTTTGCATGTGCAGAATTCCTGTGGACTTCAATGTGGCTTACAAAATGGGACCCTTATTAGGACCAAATCCTTCAGCTGCCAGAAAGGCCATGCCAGTTAAGACCATAGGCGCCAACTTTCTCTGGCGCTGGTGGGTGCCTGCTCTTGGCCCCGTCCCGACTCCACCCTTTCCCCGCCCCTGGCCCTGCCCCATTCCAACCCCTTTCCCAAAGTCCCCGCCCTAAATCCGCCCCCTCCCTGCCCCTATTGGATCCCTTCCCCAAATCCCCAGCCCAGCCCTGCCTCTTCCCCCAGCACGCTGCATTCCCCCTCCTCTCCCCTCCCTCCCTGCCCCACGAATCAGCTGTTTCGCGGCGCAAGTGCTGGGAGGGAGGAGAAGCAAGGACGCGGCAGTGCACTCGCGGAGGAGGCGGAGGTGAGCTGGAGCGGGGGGGGGGCCAGGGCAAGGAGCTGCCGGTGGGTGCTGGGCACCCACCAATTTTTTTCCATGGGGGCTCCAGCCCCAGGGCACCCACGGAGTCAGCTCCTATGGTTAAGACCTGTGTGGCTCTGCTGCAGGCGCAGGGACAGGAATGGAGAGGAATAGTTGTCATATAGCGAGTGCAGTAGCTGAGCATTGAATGATCCTTCGGGGATTTTCAGAACAGTTCAGCTCCTATTTAGCCACCAAACTAAATAGACAGTTTTTCACAGGAACTCATGTTGGGTACTAAACTCTTTGGAAAATCTAGCCATAGATGTCACAGTGGGAGCAACTGAGTGCTGAGTACCTCTGGATATCTGCCCTTTATTTAGGTGCCTAAGGGCTTGCCTACACTGTGAAGTTGTCAACAAAACTTTTGTCTTTCACGGGTACTTAAAAAATCCCTCCCCCGCCCAAGCTAAAGACAAAAATTTTGCTGACACAAGTGGCAGTGTGAATGTGGCTTTGTTGGCAGGAGCACTCTCCTGCCGACAAACCTAACGCTGCTCTCGCAGGGCTGGAAGTATTTTGTTGGCAAAAGTGCCAACAAAGTACCGAAAAAGAGCGTTTACACGCGCTGACTTTTAGCAACAAGGCTGTGTCTACATAGCCTTGTCGATAAAATCTGCGTGGTGTAGACAAGAACTGAGCTTGTGTAGACAAGACAGAACTGAGCTCTTTTGAAAACCTGGCCCTGTGTGACGGAATTAAATAGAGAATGTTTATTTATTTTTTTATGAAAAGGAGCCTGTGTAAAGACCTCTGGAAAACATGCAATAAGCCAGAATAGTTTTACAGGCAGTGTATGGCAGAATGCACTGTTTTTACTTGCTTGTTTTCTGCTAAGCAAACCTTCAATAGTCACTAAACCAAGTTCATCTCCGTAACACAGATTTGCAGTTCCCAGTGAAATCGATGGGAGCTGTGTCTGCATGTCGTAGAGCAGAACTTGGCCCTGTGAATGTTTCAATCCCTGTGATATGAATGGTCTCCTGTAATTTAAATAGATAATCTTCCATTCATCACCCTCAGCAGTATCCTTTGTGTCTTAAGCCTACAGCCGAGTCCACTGAAGCTTTAGTCCTGAAAACTCAGTCCCTGGGGAACCTGCCACAGCACAGAAATAGTGATGACATACTAGATTCTTCAAGAATGAAAGGAATAGGAAAACCCAAAAAGTTTTCCAGGTTCAGCATTTATAAGCATCTCCAGAAGCACGGCCTACACCACGCTGATAGTGTAAGCAGTATAGACAGTGAGTCAGGTAAGTAATATTTCTCCACCTTACCTATAGAGCATATAATTAGGGAGGAGAGTTAATGGTTTCCTAAAGTGCTAGAAGGGTACTTTGTTTAGTGAAGCCTTGAGTTTGCCTTTAAATGCATCTGTGTTTGGTTAACAAACAGCTGGCACAAAACAAGGGTGGCATTCAGTTTGGTTAGGGGACAGCCCCAAACTGCAAATGAAGAAACCATGCTATAATATGGTGTAGTGTATGTGGTGTGTTATGTGCTGTGATGTATGTATAGATATGCACATTGATTTTGTGCTAGGAACTTCTTACATTTGTGGCAGAGATACTGGCATTTTTGCATCGTATTCATTATAGCAAATGAAGCAGGATTTCCGAAGATATTATGGGCCTGATTATGCTCTCACTTGCACTGGTTTTAACTCATTTAACTCAGTGGCGTTATTCCTGATTTACAGTGGTGCTAGGGGGAGGAAAATCAGGTCAAAATTTGAATATGTGAATGCAACATTTACTTCTATGCATGATTGAAGTTACAGGATGCCACTATAGGCACACTCAAAAGCCAGAATTCATACCAGCAAGCCTTCCACTTTTGAAGCAGTGGAAGAGCTGTTTTGGGGAGGTGTTTTGTGCTAGGGGGCGTTTCAGACTTTACAAAGATTACTCATGTCTCTGGTAGGAATGATCTGCAGGAGAATGCTTTACCTATGGTCAGAGCCAGTTCAGAATATGAGCATACCTTAGTGATGGTTTTGCAACATGAATATTTGCCGATCTGTGCTCAAAAATCTAATAGGTCCTGTATTTGGCCCACGGTCGTTGTACCATTATTAATGTTCTGTTCAGACTGTCTACAGTTGATTGGACTGAAGTCCTGCAAGTTATTTTAAACATTATTGGGTAACTGATATGGTAAAAGCTCTAATGCACTTTCCCTGTAAATGGAGCATCTCAACTCTCTGCAGGTTATTGTAATCCTAGTAGAAGCCAGCAGAATTTAATCCAGAGTTTAAAACCCCACCTGAAAATGTTTCATCATCCCACTGGGTCCAAACAAGGGCTCACTGAGTGTGAGGACGGTAAGTGAAGGGCCACCCAGGTGGAGTTACCTGCAGGCTTTACTGTTGGTGTGTTTGCTGTTCAGTCATGGTGAGAGTTAGGTGGGGCTTATGGATTGACATTCTATACCTTCGGTATATGTATTACCTTCAATCTATGTCATATTTCCCTCTAAAGAGGCCCTCGTAGAATCACTTTCTTCACAGGCTGATTTGTAAAAGACTCTCTAGGAAGCTGCATCAATGAGAAGATAAATATGTAACAACTACAGCGGGTGCACTAGGGAAGTTTCACTCTGGTTCTACAGCTCCGCCCATTCCAGCTGTATTCCTCATGCAAAGTAATGGGAATATCGCTGAAAATTAGTAACACCTTTAAATCCAGAATGGATTTTTTTTTTAAAGTCAGCCCAGTGCATGAAGACAGCCTTGAAAAGAACATGAATATGACTGTGTAAACGCTTCCAGACCTACATTTAGACCAGGGGTCTCAAACACGCGGCACACGAAGTTATTTGCTGCGGCCCGCCAAGCTCCCCGTGCCCCCACTGAGTTATTTCCTGCGGCTGCCAAGCTCCCCTCACCCCCTGCTCCCCCTCACCCCCAGCGCGCTGTGTCCCCACTCCTCTGCCTACCTCCAGGCACTTCCCACCGCCAAACAGCTGTTTGGCACATAGCACTTTCCACGAGGGAGGGGGGAGGAGCGGGGAGCCGCGTGCTCAGGGGAGGAGGCAGAGAAGAGGCAGTGCAGAGGTGGGGATTTGGGGAAGGGGTTGGAATAGGGGCAAGAAGGGGGCAGAGTTGGGGTGGGGACTTTGGGGAAGGGGTTGGAATGGGGGTGGGGAAGGGATGGGAAGAGGTGGGGAAGGGGCAGGGCCTCATGGAAGGGGTGGAGTGGGGCTGGGGGCAGCGGGGGGGTGTCAGTGATGCAGCCCTCAGGCAAATCTGCTAGTCCGCATGTGGCTTTCGTGGTCATTTGAGTTTGAGATCCCTGATTTAGCCGAAGATTTGGCCACTTTCGTTCTCCAAGTCAGAGTTTTCTGTGGGTGGGTGAGACAGGTAGGAGAGTGCACATCATCAGTATATCAGCATCACCTGTGTTTTGATCCATGGACTGACAATAGGTTGTGCTGCTGAAAGGACCCTTTCTCTTACAGGTAGGCCATCCATATTTGATGTGCGTTGCTTTGATTTCAGTTATAGAGCAAAGGAGGGTTGTTTCTTCATCAAAAGAGCTTATGTAGAGGAAAGCTGAGCTGATCATTTATGTAGCAGTTACAGCCAGCATGATCTCAAAGAAGAGCTCTCGACTCTGCACTCCTCACCTTGGTCTGACAGAGCCCAACTTTGTTGGCCTGCAGGGCTAGACTTTTCTGAGAGAGTGACTGCGTGGAACTGAATCTGAGTTTTCATAGGCTTGCATGCATCTGAAGAAGTGAGGTTTTTTATCCACGAAAGCTTATGCCCAAATAAATCTGTTAGTCTTTAAGGTGCCACCGGACTCCTTGTTGTTTTCATAGGCTAGGGAGTGTTTTAAAGCTGACACTGGAAAACACTGATACAAACTATTTAAAGGGACCTCTGTAGCATTAAGGAAACTTCCCAATAATAGCAGGAAAATTGGACCTGCTTCTGTTGGTGAAAGACACAAGTTCTCAAAATCTTGTCTCTTTCACCATCAGAGCCAATAAAAGATATTACCTCACCCAGCTTGTCTCTCTAATATCCTGGGACCAATATGGCTACAACACTACTACAAACCAAGTATTTAATAGTGACTCCGTACTTTAAATCTGTAAGGATTTATACATACAAATCCCAGGGTGGAATTTGGACCAAAATACCTTTCTAGTGAGCAGTGTCTGCTTGGAATATTGGTTGAGTAGAAATGATCATTTATTTAATAACCATAGTGCACTGGCATTTTTGTCATTTTCGTTTCTACATTGTGGAAAATTTACAGTCGACATGACCTTAAAACTCTATTGATACTCATCAGTCACTTTTCAAAACACTGGACAATGAGCCCACCTTTTCCTTTTATGGACTCTTTCAATAATAGTCTTCTAAGATGTACATGGCCAGCTTTATATAAAATAGAGACGTGTATGAAAAGGACACATGTGTTTCGTATGTATATGGACTGCCATATATGACAGTGGCCACTTATATGTTCATTCATATGAGTCAATGTGTGATCCCAGAAGCTCAGTACATAAAACATATTCTACTGTAGCATTCACATGTATGTTACATATGTTTGTATTCCAGCATGTGCAGTCAGTGATTTCCTTGCCCCACCTGTACTCTCACTAACTCATGCAGAACTGTGCTGTTTGGATGTAGCTTTGCTAAGGCTGTAACTAGACTGTCAATGTTGCTTACCTGTTGCATGGCATTTGGGGCATGGGTTGGCTTTTGTGGTGTTCCAACGGTGCTGACAAGACGTGCTTTGTGTATATTGCCGTAGGTGGTTATCATATTGTCACTAGTGTGGATTGGTGAATATTTCTAAAATATTGTTGTGATTAAAACGTTTTTGTGAGTGCTTGATTGCCTGGCTGGCACAGTACACTAGATGCAGTAGTTCAGGTTCCTAAACATCTTTGGGATTGTCACGCCTTGAACTAGCACTAAAACCTCAAAGAAGGCGATAGTGCAGAATTCTGTCAGCAACTGGGGCAGTGCAGAACCGGTCAGTTGTCATGAGAGAATACATGTCATGGGGGAATGCAGAGGAGACTAGATAACTGTAGGGTTTTTCACTCCATCTGGGCTGCGAGTGTGACTGATCCCAAATACTTAGTTACTGTCTGAGAGCTGAGTATCCCCATGGTGTAAACCTTGGCCAGATCATATAAAAATAAAATATATAGGATAAAAATGTATAGGGGACATCAAGCCTCTTGCTTCAGGACAGAAGCTCATCACTTAAGTGGGGTTACAAAAAAACTTTCCTTGTAGATACGTTATGGCATAATTGTCCAGTCAGGGTTGTTAACCATTCTCTGAGCTATCTGATAAAGGCCACTGTCAGAGACAGGATATCACACTAGTTAGAACATAGATCTGATTCAGTGTGAGCTTTCCTGTTTTTTTAGAAGGGAGGTGGAAGGGATCACACTACTCCTCGTTTATATGCTCATGGCATTCACAAAAAGGTATAAATTTCAAGAAAGGAGTTGGGGGAATGGGAGTAATTTTTGCATGTAAGTCATTGCAAGGATGGTAGGCCCTAATTTTTCACCATGAAACTGAAATTCTGCATCCATGTGCTGAACATGTAACACAATCTCAGAAGCTGAAGTAGTTATTTGAAGAGGCACTGGAAAAAGGGAAGAGACCCATCTTTGTGCTAGCTAAAATTGCAGTGGAGAGACCCTTTTGTGGAGTCAAAATCATAAATCTTATAAAATATAAAATTGCAATTAGAGTTGATTTGTATTTTAGTACAAACTAAATATACAGGAGTAGTACTCTCTTCTGAACACAGATATAAAGTCCCACCTCCCACTGAAGTCAGTGGTATATGAGAGCAGAATTACAATTGTTAATGCTTTCAATATAGGTTCCTTCCTTGCAGGTTATTGTGGGATGACAAATAGCTGAAGGGTAAATTTTCAATCCAGTGCAGAAAGGATTCAGATCTAGCTTCCATTACCAACAACAAGACCTGTTAATATAATCTCCCTTGATTGTGTACCAGATGTGTTATACTGGAGAAGGAAAACACAGAGATTTAACTGGAAAATTACTTTAGCTGACTAAAATTGGCAAGTTGTGCCGATAGTTTTCTATTCAAGTGCAGTTCTCATCTGTGCTGTGTTGAGAGCAGTCTTAAAAACAACTTTAGAGCATATGTTTTTGTCACTTTATAAACCTGACAGATAAAGGATCAATCCGCAGCTTGAAGACGGGTGTTGGAGAACTTCTTGGGGAGACCAGGTTCTGGCATGGAAAGGACTATTGCAATTTCGTCTTTAAAGACTGGGTTCAACTCGACAAACCCTTTGCTGGTAAGTGCCATTGCAATCTGGAACCAACTTTTTTCCCTGCAAGACAGTTTGTCTCATTCCCTAGCTCCTCTACTGCCTTTTTATCCTCCTGAATTGGAGCTAACGAGACCCACCTGGTCTGGCTGCTGGGAAGAGGCAGCAGAATCCCAAAGTAAGGTAATAAAAACAGATATCCTATGACAATAATGGATAAGTGAGCTTGTGGCCTACCAGCCCCCACAAGCTGACCTGTCCTCAATTTTAACTCCTAATTTGTTAGTTTTTATTTCTGGAAAGGTTCCGTTTGTAGGAAGAGATGCCTGTGATATTCTTAATTAATGTCTGATACTGATCTGAGATGAACTGTAGCAATTTTTCCCTGTCCATATAGATTTCATTGACAGATACACCACACCCAGAATGCCATGGCATGATATTTCATCCGTTGTGCATGGCAAAGCTGCACGGGATGTTGCTCGACACTTTATTCAGCGTTGGAACTTCACAAAGGTAGGTGTGCAATGAGATAGATCCTGCAAGCCCTCAAATCTGAATGCTTCGCAGATGCCTCACATAGGGCTATATGCAGGAATAAGTGCCATGCCAGGTAGTCAAGGTTTGCTGGATTGGGCCAGTAAAGTATATATTTGCTTGCCCTAATGTCCCAGCAAGTAACACTGAAAAACTGTGTCTCTGACAGCAAGTAATGAAGATAGGTGCTCTCATTCTCCTGTTACACCAGTGTAAATAAGGTATAATTTGAATTTAGTTGGTGGAAAATGGTGTGAAAGGAGAATGAGGTCTGGGATGTTGTTAGCCAAGGGGTGAGTGCCATTGTGCTGCTATTCTAGCAGTTCCTGCTGGCTGGTTGGGAGGGACACAAGAGCCAAGAATGTGCCCTCTTGCGAAGCAGCAGACAGGGACAAGTTCAGTCGGTGATCCCACAGCCAAGGGGAGCAAGGAAGATCAGGGCCGTCAGGCCAAAGCCACAGCTGGGTGATCCAACCACCTGGGCAAACTAGCAATAACCAGGATTTTCAGGGCCAAGAAACCAGGGGAACCTACCAGTGGAGGCCATGTTGGAGTCCTGGACCAACAAGGATCCAATCACCAGAGAAGCCCTGGCCTCCTGGGGATCCAGTCACTAGGACTCAACTAGCAAGCACATAGGATCCTCACCACAGGAGAGGACTGGCTAGGATCCCATCACATAAGAACCCTCCGTGATGATGAGGGAGCCTTGGGCAGGCTGGAATACAACCCACACTGGGGACCAGGCCAGTAGGCCCTGTTGCCAAGGAAGATGGTGACTAATGGAGCAACAGAGTCCCTCTGTTCTTCCTCATTTGCTCCCCACTCTTCTTTCTCTCTCTCCCCTCTGTTTTGATGTTTCTTCCCCACCCCGAAGAAGAAGTGCTTTGATACTTGTTTTGAAGCTCATCACTGCCTAAAGATTAAAGACTGTTTTATGCTTCAAATTGAAGGGAGGTGGTGTGGCTTGGGAAGTGTCAGGGCTCATTCTGGACAGGCCTACTTAGGCGACTGGATATCCAGTATGTTTTTTTAAGCCCTGATCTTAGGTCCTACTTCGAACAATGGTCGGTATGACTTTTTCAGACAGAAATGTGTCCTTTCCAGTTATGGTGGGCCTTTAGAACCAGAATAGTCCTATGGTTATATTCGCCTGACCAAAACCTGAATGATATTCAAATGTGCATTCAAACTGCAAATGCATGGCAAAGAATAGACATAACATACTGTTAGCCTGATGTCTGCACAGACTTTTTGGTATGAGTGTTAATTTCAAGATACTGAGAGCACATTTCACAGAAGTACAGAATTCATGGATATTTTCAGAACCATTCAGAACAGGAATTGAGTTTATGAATATGAAAACTTTACGTTCTCTCCCCCCGACTTTTGTGTATTAAGAGAGGAGTATAAAAACAGTAAAAGCCTTCAGCATAAAAATCTGAAGAAAATGTGTTTTAAAATACAATATCCTTCATTTTTTTCTTTTGAAGATCATGAAGCCCAAATACAGATCCCTGTCCTACCCATTCCTGTTGCCAAAATCTCAGCGAACCGCCAGTGAGATGAAGTATCAAGTGCCCGAGTCTGTATGTGCCAATGTACAGGTGGGTGTAAATGGCATTTCATGGATTCCTAAAATGAAGAACTTCCTGGCACTTGGGCTCATTTTTAGCTCTTTGTAATAGGAGGCCTTGGTAGTCTTCCAGCTGAAACTTTCAAGATTTTAAAGGATTTAAAGTGTAAACTACTTTTTATTTTAAAATGCAACTTAGCAGGCCAGATACTCAGCTGGTATAAATCAGTGTAGCTTCATTGATTTCAGCAGATAGAGACTGATTTGCAGCAGCGGAGGTTCAGGTTCAGTGTATGTAAGATGAATTATACAAATGACATTTTAAACTCCATTAGTTGTGCTGAATGCATATGTTAAATGTGATTATTAAACAGCAGAACTAGACATGTTAGGAATGCAGGGTGGAAATGGAAGTGCTTAGGAAGTGTGCCTAGGAAGTGACAGGATTTTGTGTGTGTGTGTGTGTGTGTGTGTGTGTGTGTGAGAGAGAGAGAGAGAGAGAGAGAGAGAGAGAGAGAGAGAGAGA